AACTGTTTGCACAACAGTGGGCGTCAAAATGCTGCTGATGATGATTTACCTTTACAGCAAATGCTCAAACTGTTTTCCTTCAGTCGCAATACACGCTCGACATCTTCTTAAAAAAGATCGGGTTATTAAACGAGCGAATCCACGGTTATTAACAAACTCAGCTGCTTCCAATAGTCTTTGCCGTAGCTCAGCTACATTTTGAATCGGCTTGAAATACACTTTTTCTTTTAAAGTTCCCCAGTAAAAAAAATCTAACGGACTCAAACCTGGTGACCGGGCTGGCCACGGTATTGTACCAGACCGCCCTATCCATCTGCCTGGAAAGTTTTGATCGAGATACTCTCTCACTAAGAGTGCATAGTGCGCTGGGCAGCTATCACGTTGAAACCACATGTCCCTGTAAATACTCAGTGGCACGTCCACCAATAAATTTTGTACATGATTTTTCAAAAAATCCAAATAAACTTCAGCAGTCAAAGTCTCTGGGAACTCAAACGGACCGATTATTTTACCATTTAAAATTCCTGTCCAATGGTTTATCTTGAAGCGATATTGAGATTTATCTTCTCTCATCAAATGTGGGTTTGCTACGTGCCACTCGTCTAAGTTATGCAGGTTCATGTACCCCTCTTTCTTAAATGTGGTCTCATCCGACCATAAATTTTTTTCAAACAACTGTGGATCTTTCCTGTGTCTTTCTAACATTGTGCGACAAAAAGCAACTCGGGGCTCATAATCCCGAGGCAGGAGAGCTTGAACACGCTGTACGTGGTATGGATGGAGCACGTTTTTTTGCAAGATTCTATGGGCTGTACTTTTGGGCACATCTGTTTTTAGTTCTATTGCACGCACTGAAGTACTCGGGTCTTCTTCGACAGCTCCTAGCACCACGTCTTCGTAAGGAAGGAAAGATCTTCCCTCACTCTGATAGCTGTTATGACTTTGCCTATCACCCGGTTTCGGCTTGACGTCGACTTCTGGGACACCCTGTATAGTAGAAAACACCAACTTTATCACTCCCTAATCAAATTTGCAGCATAAAAATAACACATGTTGCTTTTTACAGCATATCAACCTATTTTCATTTCAATGCAAAATAAGTCTATAAAGCATAGGTGGCTGTGAAAACTAAAAGCTCTGATAATTGTTTTTATTAATCACAGCTGTCAGAATACGTTTAAAATAGTTTTGGGTAGTTAAGGTTTTCAAAATGGGTAGAGGAAATGTTATTAGTGAGAAAATTCGGTTACTGATAATTAATTTTTTTAATTCTGGGAAATCAAACTCAGAAATTGCAACTTTGTTAGACTTATCGTGGTACAGTGTGAGAAATATTGTTAGAAGATATAACGTAACTGATTCAGTTAATATTAAGCCACGATATGTGAAAAAAAGTAATATCACAAATGTCGACCGAAGAGTATTAAGAAGAATAATCGTGAAAAACAGGCGTGCCAATTATTTACAATTAAGTGCTCTGTGGAGTGACGCTATTGGAAGGAGAATTTGGAGGTGCACAACTCATAGAGAGGCCCACAAACTAGGATTTAGCACTTGCAAGGTAAGTTTTCTTATAAAAAAAAAGTGAAGCAAAAACCCTAAAGTTGCACAACTTGTTTATAGGGCAAAGAAAAGCCACTATTAACTCCACTGCAAAAGAAAAATCGGCTTAGATGGGCTAACGAACATAGACAATGGACACCTCAACAATGGTGTGCAATACAATGGAGTGATGAGGCCCGATTCGAAGTTTGTGTTGGTGACAGTCGCAGTAGAGTTATTCGCAAAAAAAAAATTAAGCATTCCATGTTGACTATCTGAAGAGAAAAGGGAAATTTCCAGCATAGATTATGGTCTGTCATCAGAAGGAGTAGGAAAACTTCATTTTATTGATGGATATGTGGATACAAACAAATATTTGGCAATTTTAGAAGAATCGCTTTTACCAGTGATGGAAGAATGTTTGACATCCGGCCAAGATTTTGTGTTTCAGCAAGATGGTGCAGCGTGCCATACCTCAAAAAAGGCTATAAAATGGATGGAAGAAAATAATGTACTACTTTTGAAATGAGTTTCTAGCAGTCCAGATCTGTCACCTATTGAAACTTTGTGGCACGAGATGAAAAAGGTTCTACGACACCATCATGCTCGTACAATCACCGTACTGAGACAAAAGCTTCAAGAAATATGGGATTGTTTTACACCAAATTTTTGCCAAAACTTGGTTAACAGTATGCCCCAAAGAATTTCAGCCGTAATAAAAAATAAAGGTGATGTTACCCAATGGTAATCTTTCTATTCGCACATTGTTTATTTGTTCAGATGTTCTATTAGTTATAGGTCTAAGTGATTTCAAATATGTATTTTTTACGACTAGAGTGTATTTAAAATGTTTTGGAGAAAATAAATTGTTTTAGAAGTAAACAGTTTCGTCATGTTTAGTTTATAAAGGCATATTATTATAAGGAACTCAGAAATTATACAAAAGGGGCCATACAGCGTGAGCAGAAAGCTTATATTGAATTTTCTATGAAACAGAGAAATATAAAAATGACTTGGCATCGGCTACGTCAAATAGGAGTTGTCAAAAACAGTACAAATTCCATTCCTCAACACCTTTCTAATCCAGATACAATAAATGCTTACTTTTCAAATCTACCCAAAGTTCATAGAACTCAGTCTCAACTAGATTTGTTAAATGCATACAAAGAACCTCGCAGTAACAACTTGTTTTCTTTCACTTCAGTAGATGCTGCATTAATTTAAAAAACATAAGAAGCATTAAATCTGATGCAGCAGGACATGATGGTGTTTCCAAGAAAATGCTATATGTTTTTGAGGATCATCTACTATACCACATTACCTATATTATTAACTTTTGTTTATTAAACTCCGTTTTTCCAGAAGCGTGGCAGATTTCAAAAATCATCACAATTCCCAAGGTATCTGTAATAGAAGATATTAAAGATCTGAGACCAATTAGTATTTTACCAATACTCTCCAAATTATTGGAAATGGTCTTAAGGCAGCAAATCTCGGAATTTGTTATGACAAACAAAATTATACCACCGATCCAATCTGGATTTCGAGCCCAACACGATACGACAACTGCACTGGCATGTATAGTTGATGACTTCTACAAATCACTTGACAAAGGTAATGTTATGTGTTTAATTCTCTTGGACTTTAGTAAAGCCTTTGATACCCTAGATCATAATATATTGTGCATGAAGCTGAAGTACTTTGGATTTGCAGATAATGCGGTAAATTTAATAAGGGACTACTTAACTAGTAGGTACCAATACGTATCGGTAAACTCTTCATCTTCTGATAAAAGAATGATTACAATGGGTGTACCACAAGGGTCCATATTAGGCCCTTTACTATTTTCTTTATATATTTCAGACTTTTATAACTACGTAAAAACTTGCAAAATACATCACTATGCGGATGATACACAATTGTACTTCAGTTTTCAGATTGATCACATTTTGAACTCCTACTCTTTGATTAACGACGATATTAATATGTTATACAATATATCAATTGCACATAATCTAAGCATTAATGCCAACAAATCAAAGGCAATGCTGTTTGGTTCTAAACAAAAACGTATGATTTCTAAGCATTCGTTTAATCTGAACATTAATAACATACCATTACCTGTAGTGGATGAGAGCAAAAATTTGGGATTGTGGTTTGATTCAGATCTGCGATTTAGTGTCCATGTCAATAAAATTTCCTCCTCAGCCTATAGTATGCTTAAGCAATTATATCCACTGCGTCGTGTTTTAAATAGTAGCTTGAAAATGAAGTTATGTGATGCCCTTATAATTTCTCGCCTATCTTACTGTGACAGCATATATGGCCCGGCTCTTTTAAAAAATGATTGTTTGAAATTACAGCGAGTACAAATTTCGTGTCTGCGCTTCTGTTTTGGTATAAGAAAGTTTGATCACATAAGCCATATATTCAAACAACACAACATTCTAAGTTTAGATAGATTGAGAAAATTGCATTTCCTATCACTAATCCACAAAGTTCTCGTGAACAAAAAGCCGGAATACCTTTTAGATAGAATTTCAAAGTTTGAAAATATCAACACATTATATACTAGAAATAGGTGAATGATTGTTATACCACCCCACTCAACATCAACCTTTAAATGCAGCTTTTCATATAACGCAGCAAAACTATACAATTGTCTCCCAAATGATTTTCATGACTTCTCTTTATTGAACTTTAACAAAAAGCTAAAGAATTTGTATCTGTCTGAAGTGTGAAGGATCCTATATGCTGACTCTGTTTACGCCCACTACTTTTCTACTTGTCTCTCTTTCATTCTTATTCTATTAATTGTTGATACAAAATACTTTTTCGTTACCTTCAAAAATGTATTATGATTTGCTGATAGGACGTTGGTAGCTACACCAGCAACAAAAGACTTTTAATCCTACGTTCCATTGAGAAAGTTATGGTAGTTAAATGGATGAGCTGAAACTCACTACATTTTTTTTCTTTTTTTTTATGATTTGTTCCTTTCTCTTAGGCACTAGGTTACAGAACAGTTATTATGACTATCATTAATACTTATGTTTATCTCTATTATTGTATGATATGTGTATGTTCATGATACAGATACAATTTTTTATTTGAGGTTGGGTTGAAAAATACCCCTAGGGTAACACTCCACCATTTCAATTTTGCACTTTTGCGGTTTTTCAAGATATCATTCTTTTGTTTTATTTTATGTATGCAAAGTTGAATAAAGGCACATTATTATTATATTTTGTACAAATCTTGAAGTGGGCCAACTGAAGTGGGAAGCGGCTCGTATGTTTGATTCATAGTTTTTCGTCTTATAACATCCAAACAACATATCTCATTTTCGCGATTAGAATACTTCCTCGCCGGTAGCGTTGAAAGTAAAATGGTACGTTTGGCAACGTGGCCCGTTTGAGCGGCACGGTTCAACCGGTGCGTGCATCGACAGCGGGTACCCGGGGCTCGCGACTTGTGCGATCATTAAAGTCTCCACGGCCGTCGAGGCAGAGACAGGCGTACCACCGTTCCGGTACCAAGATATGACTGGCAGCCAACGCGTATGCACTTGACGGTACCCGCACGTTGTTGCTCATTTCACTTTCGACACCGCGTAATTGGTGACTTTTCTGCATCTGTTCGTGTGTCCCGGATCTGTTTTGGTGCGGCGGTTTCTCTTTAATTGTTGTTGACTGTAGTTTTTCGAAATGAAGACAATGTGTACCGAGGCGCCACCGCCAGCTATGTGGCTTATGATGACTACTGTCCTGCTTTTAGCCGGTTTTGCGTCGGGTAAAGGTAAGTTCAGCTTTTCAGTTGAGCAGCGCCAATTTTTTGTTCATAGCAAGATTGATTCTACGATTTCATGGTTAGTTGGTCATTCAGTTAATGTTGATGTCGCTTGTACCGCCTTGTATTCAGTTATCAATAACATCTTTGAGGTCCATGTCCCTAAATGTAAAAATAAAATGTTTTCGTATCCCCCATGGTTCACACGTGAAATTATACTTAATATCAAGAAGAAGGACATAGCAAGAAGGAACTGGAAACGTGACGGTACTAAGTTTTCTTATGATCAGTTCAGTAATTTTAGGAAGCTCATTAAGAACCAGATCAGTGTTGCCTACTCCGCTTACGTCCAATCGGCTGAGGATGCCATTGTCAATGATTCTAGCAAATTCTGGTCATTTGTCCAGATCAAAAAACAGCAATCTAGAATCCCCCCAAGGATGACGCTTAACGGCAATGTCTGCGATACGCCTCAGGATATAGTGGACAGTTTTGCTACCTTCTTTTCAACAGTTTTTATCCCGTCTGGTGTACTAGGGTCATCTCCTCCAACAAATAATTCTACCGATATCATTTCTTTAAAAAATATAAGTGAAGAAAACGTAATTAGGGCTTCGAAAAGATTAAAGAACAAAATGACGTCTGGATGTGATGGTATTCCAAGTTTTTTCGTTAAAGATTGCATTCATATACTAGCGAAACCGCTGGCTTCCATATTCAACCTAATTCTAAAATCAGAGACATATCCAAATATCTGGAAGACCTCTAAAATATGTCCTATTCACAAAAGTGGAGATATCTTTGATATTTCCAACTATCGCCAAATAGCAATCCTGTGCAATTTCAGCAAGTTGTTTGAGATCATCGCTTATGAAACGGTTTACTGCTCGGTCAGGGGTGCAGTCTCTATTAATCAGCATGGGTTTATGAGAGGCAGATCTACGGTCACCAACTTGGCTCTAATTACTCAATACATTTCTGAAGTACTGGACGGTCAGGGACAAGTTGATGTCATCTACACAGATATTCAGAAGGCTTTTGATCAAGTTGATCATTATGCACTTCTGGATAAGCTTAAAACAGTGGGTATGTCTGATGCAATGCTGTCGCTCATGAATTCATATTTGAGGGATAGAAGGTTATTTGTCGAATATGGTGGTCATAGGTCAGTTACTATCGGGCCACGTCTGGGGTACCTCAAGGGTCAAATCTAGGTCCATTATTGTTTTTAATATTTATTAATGACTTGTCTTTTGAACTGAAGTGTTTCCATTTGTTTTTCGCTGATGACCTCAAAATCTGCACGTCAGTCAAGACAGTCTAGGATTGCGTCATGTTGCAAGATGACTTAGCTCTAATTTCGTCATGGTGTTCACGAAACTGTCTCAGTCTGAATGTTTCGAAATGTAAAGTTATGACTTATACAAGAAAAGTGAACTATTTAATTTATGATAATTATAACATCAATGGTCAGGTTATAGACAGATGCACCTCTTATAGAGACCTTGGAGTCATATTTGATACCAAGCTAACGTTTACTGAGCACATACTCAATATCTAGTCGGCTGCCACTCGACTACTTGGTTTCTGTATCAGAAACTGGAAGGGTTTCTCCAATGTTGATACATTAATGACTTTATTTTTTACTTTTGTCAGGAGCAAGTTGGAGTATGCGACTCTGATCTGGTCTTCTATATACCAAAATTCTGTCGTGATCCTTGAGGCCATTCAACGTAAAGCTTTAAAGTATTTTCACCTTAAATGCACAGGTTCTTATCCAGAAAGAGGTTGTGACCATAGTGCCCTATTAGAGTCTTTCAATTTGGATTCACTGTCAACAAGACGAAACATATTTGCTTTGTCGTTTTTGTATGGCCTCATTCACAACAAAATTGACTGTCAAAATCGCCAATTAATTTCATGTGCTGCGTCATGAACAGTGTTACTGAATCGTGTGATATTTACAGTGACAGTTGCGCAACGATTATTAACTGTTATAGATCATCCAATCTTATTTAGAATGTGTGATACTATAGATTTAAGTCCAAGAACCATGTCTCTTTAATTGCTATTTTTTTTCAGCGTTTCCTGTAATTGGGTTTCACCTGTTGGAAATAAATAAATAAATAAATTCACACCTTAATTTTGGGTATAGTGTCGTACATGTAATAAACACATACAGGGTGGCGCATCTAAAACGAAACAGACGCATTTGCTGGCAACTCAGTTTTTTTTTGAAAAACGCTCAGACCCGTCGATTTTGTTTTCGAGGGGGACACAAATTTGGCAAAAAATCACGTTAACACGTGCAGCGCCCTGGGCGGGGGTGACACCAACCCTAAAATCTTAAATGGAAAGGGGGGTCGAGTGATACCTTATTTTAAAGGTCTTTCAATTCCGTTTATAATGATGTAAAATACATGAGCTTCAGTTCAGTAGTTTTGAAGATTTATTGATTTAAAGCTTAAAGTAGACTTTAACAGGTACACCAGATTAGTTTGTACTACTTTCAGAAGAAATTTGACTAAAAGAATTTACTTAATAAGTAAATGCTTTTCTTCACTACGCCCATGGTTTGTTTATCATTTTGTTGTTGAAAATAGCTATTGGAGCGTTTTTTTGTGGCAAAAAAGTTATTTCTTGAAGAAAGATAAGGAAATATCTCGTAATTATTTTAAATAGGAATTTAGTTTGCGATTGATTTAGCCAAACTTTGTTGCTAAAATAACTTGTAACGCTTTATTACATAAATTAACCATGGTATATTCCACAGCAGAAAGAGTTGAAATTATCGAAATATTTTTCGGAAATAATCAGTGCGCTAATCGAACAGCAAAAATATTTAATAAGCGACATGGGAACAGTAAGGTGCATCGAAACTATGTTCTAGAACTTGTAGCTAAATTTCGGGAAACTGGGTCAGTCGCCAATAAAAAACGCAACATTGAAAATCCCATAAGGAACGACGCAATAGAAGCGGGGGTTTTAGGGCAAGATTATGTAGATCCTACGTTAAGCACCCGCAAATTGGAGACTGTGTGAGGTGTTAGTCGACGTACTGTCCAACGGATTCTAAAAGCCCATAGTTTTCATCCGTATAAAATTCACCTGGTACAAGAACTTAACCCATTCAACTCCAGCTACAATTTCAAAAATGTATCCTACATACCAGATCATGTCTTTTCAAGCTTTCATAAATTATATTAGTACAGTTGAACTTGATCATTCGTACAGGTTTTTGTTTTTAGTGAGTTTTCTTATTCCTCGACTTCGACAGACAACGCAGACATTTAGTAGAGCGCGATTTTTTCCTTGTTCTTTTGGCAAGTACACCATAACATGTTTTTCTTTGGAGGATTTACCTTTGGAAGTTGACGGTTGAGTTTCAAACATCTTCCGATACCCATGGCTATATTTACTTAGAATATCATTACACCACAATTTTATATAGTCATACATAGCACTTTGAGAGCCTCCGGTTGCATGTGTGTATAAAACTCTATAGTTCAGAAAATCTGAGACATTAGAAAAAACCCACTTTTGAGAACCAAGTGTAACTTTTCCTTAAAGAATTATATGTCTCCTAATCCTGATCGATTGCATCCACAGCACCCATATTTTGATTGTAGTATTGAATATGGGAAGGTTTTTTGAAAGTAACTATTTTTCTTCCCACCTTATGGCGACTCTTTTCATAAAAACCTGCAGTATTATTTGTTGTTAACAGATATACATCTTTTTTGTCTTTATATTTAACTAGTAGTTTCATATCTTTCCATACGAAGCATGATTGGTATTGCTCTAATGGTATGTTGCACAGTTGTCTGGGCACACCTAGATTTACTCTTATTGTTCCAGTTAAATATGGTTCTTGGGAAAGTAAAAATTTGGAAGTATATACCAGTTATCCAAAATAACTTCACGGCAACTGTTTAGTAGGTTTCGAGCTAGGTGAACTACGATTGTTCCCGAAACTGACAAACTTTCAGTACCTGATATATGTGTTACGTCAAATGTATCTTTGCCTATATATAGACAAAAGTTCCAGAAATAACCTCTTAGATGTTGAGCACTTGGACATAATGCAAACATTTTTATTCCAAACCTGCTTCTTTCACTTTTTATATATTGGCGAAAATGCAGTCTACCTTTATAAAGCATTAGGTGTTCATCAATAGCAAAAACTGGTCCGGGGTCCACTAAGGTCATGCAGTTATCTTTCAGCATAGCCATAAAAATGCCAAGTCTACTCATGGGAGCTCGGGCGCTAGCCGCTTCCAGGTTAGAAAATCTGATAAACTTCAAGATAGATAGGTACCTGCTTCGGCTCATTATTGTTTTGTCAAACACTTTTGGTCCAGAACATAACATACTTTTACTGCAATAATCTGTTATGCGAGGACATTTAGTGAGTCCGGTCAAAAAATGAAGTGTAATAAAAATATACATTTCCTCTTTTTCAAGGTTCTTCCACTGAAGACCAAATACAGTATCGATATTATTTTTCTCGAGATACATCTCTGCTCTATTGTTGATCCATTCCCATAATTTGGTTACAATGTTCGGGCTCACAAAACATTCAAAACAATTCACTGGATCTTTACATTCTTCCCATTCAATTGCAGGATGAAAATCATAATCTGAAGAAAAATCCCTCACTTGTCTAGGCTGCTGATCGGCAAAAGGGTCACCTAAAACCTGCCAGTCCTCAATGATTACGTTCTCAATTTCATCATCGTCGTCAGTGTCTGATTAAGAGTCTGAATCGCGATCATTTAGTTGGTCCTTTTTTCTTACCTAGAAATTTCACCGGTGGAATGTATTTGGAATTACTGGAAGACGCCATAGATCCAGCATTAACAGCCATAATTGAAAATCAGAATGATCGGCGGTACATTGCGAATAGGTTGATGTTCCAACAGGATGGTGCCCCACCACATTACGCATTACGTGTTCGACAATATTTAGATCAGACGTTTCCAGATCGATGGATTGGTAGAAGAGGTGCCATTGAATGGCCCCCAAGATCGCCAGATTTATCACCCTTGGATTTCTTTATGTGGGGTCATTCAAAAAGCAAAATCTATGCTACTCAGCCAACATCATTAGAAGACCTGCGACCTGATTTTTTGTTTTCTAAGGCACTTGTGACTTCTTAGCAAAAATTAATAGACCAGTCTCGTCCAGTGACATGCAATAAAACGGGTTTTTTCGTCGAAAACTCAGTGAGACACCAAAAAAATACAAGAGGCGAAGAAGTTGTATACTTTTCACATTTTCTACATTCCATAGGAATTAAATAGACGAATTAAGAGACCATATAACGTCACTCTGTATATTATAAACAAGCATTCCAAGAACCCTGCTTCACCAATAAAAATCGAATCTTTCAGAATCACAAAATAATTTATAAGCATTGCAGTCTATGATGCTCATTATATCACCCAGGTGGCAGTGCTTTGATTTATTGCTTTAATCAGCTTACCTTTGCCCCAACATTCCAGTGCAACGCTGGCTAATAACACCATTATACACTATGCTTGAGGTTCTGGCGCCATATTGCACATCATTCCACATTATTCATCAGGAACTCAATATGAAAGTGGAATCAAAACCCCGCAGTGGCTCGACCGGTCAACAGACAATTTCAAAAATCAAAAAGACAGATCAGTGAAGTGAGTCCTGTTAGTTTCTTTTTGTGGTCGACTGAAAATTAACCTTGATGAAGTAAATTATTATACATTTTTCTTATTTAGAATAATAATTTTAGAACAGTTCCTAAAAAGATCGAATTTTATTTTTCTAACAAAACACTTCTCCATCTCGTTGAGTGTCATTTTTTATAATATCCGTCGTACATAAATACGAGAACTGGACGTGACCTGGGGCTGTTTTCTTCCTGCGCCCTCGTGTCGCAGTTCAACGTCCACAGCCCGATTTAGTGAAATAATTTCACACCCAGTGCTGGGTTTTTCCGGGTTGTGGAGATTTCTTTGGTGTTTGTATCTTGTTTAGCGCCGGAGATCCAAAATTTGTTACTTGTTATTTCTTTTCCTAGTTCTTGGAACTCATTAAGTACCGACTGAGTACAATTACATTCTTTTACCAAATTATAACTTTATATATATATATATATATATATATATATAGGTGAAAAATTAAAGCTTCCACCTTTTGTTGGGTACTTCGACAAAATTTAAGCAAAGAGGACTTTATACTTTTTTTAATTCTCTCTAGCTTTCAATGGACTTTGCCATCATCATCAGGAGCTGCAATTACAATGATAACAGTAGCAACAAAAGTGTAAAATGAATTTAAATTGACTCAACTTACAGTAGTATGTGAGGATGTTGCTAATTGTTGTTTACGTATAGGATGAGTGAAACGTCCAGTAACATGGTGAGAGCTGGATAGATGGTACAATGGTCAAATGTATATAAAATATGACAAGAACAAGTTAAAAACAGATTAAAAATTATTTAAAAACATTAGAGCATTACATCGTGAAGCCACTTGATGATTGCACAAAATGGTGGTCATGGAATAATGAGTGAGATGAACCCTTTGACAGAATGCCGAAGGTTGTCAATGTCTGTGTTGAAAGATGGAACGAATTGTGGGCGTGTGCCAAACGTTGCCAAATCACTTCAGATGATGTGATTTTCAGAATGTTATGTAAGAAATTGTTAAACCGACCAGAGGCAGTTGAATAAACTATATTTTAATTAATGGGAATTTAAATTAACAATTATTAATAAATGGTGAGAAGAGAATTATTAGATTTTGAGTGGAATGAAATTTACTGGTGGAATCGGCCAAAACACAGATTCTATTTATGGTTGTAAAGAGTCGAAATTTGGGGAGATATGTAAGTTCTCCACACACATATATATATATATATATATGTGAGCAGTAGTCATTGCCATTGCCGTGCCGTCCCCCTCACCACGTGTAGCGGAAGTAGGAGGTTCGAGACTGCATTCCGATTGTTTCCCTGAAACGTCTTTTCATGTTTAATAATTGTTAATACGTTCGGGTGTATTGATATTTTTAACATGTAACGAAGGTATCTGTCGTTATCAACAAGCCCAATATCTCCGTCCTATTGTTTTTATATTTATAACAAGTTCTATCTTCTCTACGTTCATTTTGAAACACCTTGTGGCTGCAACCTTAACGACGAGTAAGTTGTTTGACAATTTAAATCTGTCCTGTATTCTTGGCTAGCATCACAATTGTGTTTTCAGAATCTTGATGAAGGCTCCATAGAGAAAACCGAAAGCTTGATTTTATCGTCAAAAGAGTCAACTTAAGCCTAAAAATTTGTCAATTTCCCAATTGACAATTAGTTGTATATATATATATATAGGGTAAGGTCGCCTATATTGTACCACTTTTTGTATTATTGACTATTAAAAATAAGCTATTAGGTTTAGGACATTAAAACTTTAAATTTTTAATAAATTGCTTATTTTTCAAACCAAAATATATTTTTCCACAGCCCTGTGGTTCTTAATGTCGATATTATAACGGTTTTTAAGAACCTCTGCAAATGGTACAATTTAGGCCACCGATCTCCTAAATTGGACCACCCGGTGTCCTTATTTGTACCACCTTAAATAAACTGAAAACACAAAGGTAGATTAAGATAGCTTACGTTAAGTACTTTAATATCAACAAAAATAATTAGGAGAAATATCAACTACTCACAAAAATTTAATATATACTATTACAAAAATAAAATTTGTGGAATGGACGAACAAAAACGAAAAAAATATGTGTAGTACCATGTAAAAAACAAACAAAGGTATATTGTAGGTATTACACTTTAGACACAAATGTCACAAAGATAATTTGAGGTCACCAGTGCAGCACGTGATTCGTAAACCCAGTTTTTACACATTGTACATTGAATCATATCATCAAGAAAGCATTGATCACATAGGTGACAGTACCAATCCCTTTCGATAACTTCAATGACTGGAACGGTGGCATCAATAATGGGCGCTGTCCTCAGACTATTCCTTGACGTGGAGGGTATGGGAGTAGAGTTTCTTTTCTTCTTTATCGACTTTTCTGAAATGGAGGGTATGGGGGAAGGGCAAATGTTCCTCTTTACTGCTAATCGTTTAGCTTCCACTACAGCAGGTTTCCGGCTTTCCAAATCCTCTTTATATGGTGTAGATGTTAACACTTGCGACTTTTGCGGTCCTTTGGTGTTCCTTTTATTTTCGACACCTTTGGGCATAGGAAGTACTACTTCGATAGAAACACTCAATTGATGCGTTTTTATCTTTTTTCTGACTTCGGATAGAGGTATGTCGCAATCACTATCGGATGTGTCAGAATTCTGCATTATTGCCAAATCATTGTTGGATTTTTTAGTCTCATTTGAACTTATTTTGAC